TGTGAGTTCGAGACCAGCCTGGTCTACAGAGCTAGTTCCAGGACAGGCTCCAAAGCCACAGAGAAACCCTGTCTCGAAAAACCAAAAANAAAAAAAAAAAAAAAAAAAAAAAAAAAAAAAAAAAAAAAAAAGGCGAGAAACCTTATAGTACATTGTAGTGGCTTTACTTTCTTTAATCATTGTAACAAATAAATCTTGTCTACGTTACATTAAAATAGTTATTACATTTTGTATGTATTGTGTACATGCATGTATATGTATGGGGTGTGTGTGCACTTGGACATGCGTCTGGAGGTCAAATTTTGAGAGTTAGTTTTCTCCCCTCACCATATGGGTTCGGGGAATCAAATTCAGGCTGTCAGTCTTGGTGGCAAGCACCTTTCCTCACTGAGCCATCTTATCAGCCCAAGTATTATATTAAAAGTTGTTGTAAAATGTAATTTGTAATGTTTCAGAAACAGAACCTTCAAAATTCTTATTCTTCCAAAATGAATACATAATGTCTGTTATTGAAATGTTGGCCACTACTAATTATTGACAGAATCTTGGGTCAAGAAAAGAAATAGAAAGTTAAATAATCAAAACCTGAGGGAGGTCACTTCTCACAAAGTTTAAACAATACATTTGTTACCAATTTCTTTAAAATTATTATATATAATTAAAATATTCTAAAATTACAATGTTTTTAAGCCAGAAAGACCAGATTTCAAGAAAGCAAATGAGCCTTTACTCTTGATATTGCAAGAATGACATTATTGCATGATATATCTATCTATCTATCTATCTATCTATCTATCTATCTATCTATCTATCTATCTATCTATCTATCTATCTATCTATCTTTCTGTGTTGCCTTGGCTGTCCTGGAACTCACTGTGTAGACCAGGCTGGCCTCACCTGCCTCTGCACTCCCAGTACTGGGATTAATGGCATGCACCACCACCACCCAGTTTATTGTATGAATCTTATTATTTTAACTTTTTAGTAATTTTAAATAAATTTATATTTTAAACTGATTTTTAATCTTTGAATTTGAAAAGGGTTCTTGCTAATATAGTTAAACAGTCTTAAGAATTTAGTCCCATTGGGTGTGGTGATGCACACCTATAATCCTAGCAGAGGCAGGTGGACCCTTTGAGTTCCAAGTCTGCTAAGGCTGCAATGAGGTCTTTAGTCCTGTCTTAAACACCCTGCTCTAGAGTGCTTAGAAATTCCTGCAGGTCAGTGGACCAGTCATCGCCTTGACTGTCCCAGATGGGTGCAGCTTCACATTGGCGGCTGGCAGAGCAGGTTTAGCTCTCAGTTACATCCTGCATCTCAGACTAAATGGTCTTTCGTTAAAAATGGACAAACATCACTGGCTTCTCTAGAATGGAGGTCTCACAGGCTTTGCTTTCCTCCTCTTCTCTGGTCCATGTTTCCTTATACAGAGTGAGACCTGACTCACAGAAGGTGCTTAGTAAGTACTTTCTAGATGAGCAGGTCTTTAGTAATCTAGACGGCAGAATTCTGTTATCCTGAGGAGGGAAGGTTACAAAGTCATGACTAAACAAGAGTATTAAGGTAGTATTAGATGCTAACAGAAGTAATTTTGTTCCCCAGGGAACAGTTGAATTCACTGAAAAAGAATGGTACAAATTCAGCTTCTTCGTTTGTTTTTATTTTATTTTCTAAATTTGGGGAATTGGCCATCAAGAAATACTCAGAAATACTTCTTTTTTCCTGTTGGTTAATTTGGCATCTGTTCACTTCAAACACAGGTTGTGTAAGTCCTGAAAAACACTCATAATAGAAAAAGCAAAAAAGTGTTACTTCTGAAGATGCTGACATTTGTACATGATTAGACTGCTCGGGTGTGGGCTGATGTCACCTGTCGGGAGTTTGGTCTGTACAGATAGTTTAGAAAGCAGTTGTCAAGAAAGAAACTGCAGGTACAGACTTTGGGTACAGGACATACAGTTAACCCACCCCTGATCCTCCACCCCTGTATGTCCCCTCCCCATCCCCTTTCTGTAGCATCGTACAGTGTTCTAGGTTCCTGCTAGGCTGGTTTGGACATAGTTTGGTTGCCAATTCCAAACTGGTCTGTTTGAAAGTTGGCTCTGTTGTTCAATCTAGGTGGAGTGTATGCACTTGGATATTAATACTGGAATACACATGAACAGTTGATGGGTCAGAGCAATAAAGTCCCAATGATACCTTCATCTACATTCTCGAAAAGAATTTTTTTAAAATAACATGTTTTTAATGCTTATGAGTATTTTTGCCTACATGTGTATATGTGCACCATAGGCATGCCTTATGCCCTCTAAGGTCAGAAGAGGGTGTAGGATCCCCTGGAACTGGAGTACAGATGGTTGTGAGCTACCATGTGGTGTCTGGGAATCAAACCTGGGTCCTTTGCAACAGTAAGAAGTTCTCTTAATTGCTGACCCATCTCTACATCTCCACATACATTAAAAAAACCTTCTTGTTTCTTGAGATTAATATAATTACATCATTTCCCTTTCTCTTTCCTCCCTCCACACCCTCCCATGTACCCTTTCTTGTTCTCTTATAAATTCATGGCCTCTTTTTAAAAAATTATTGTAATATGTATATGTGTTAATCCACAAAACAACTCCCGAGAGATTTTTAAAAGCCAGAGAGAGAGAGTCAGGGAGTTTTCTATGAGATTGTGTTTCCTAGTATATTAGAAGCGATACCATAAGTTGCACCAACATGACTGTCTAAACGTGAGCTGAACAAGGACAGCAACAATAGGCATCCTAACGTGGACCAGTGGAAAGACCGCATTCTTTTGATAGATGGATTATGTATGTTCTATACACTTAAGTTTCTACCAGGGAATGTTTACTCTGTAAACTTCAGATCTAATGCCCTACATATACAAAATTGTTCTTTTGTAGGAACTTATATTTTAAAAATAAGGAATGGCAACCCAGTAGTCAATTTTTGACATGATGCCAGAAAAGCACACTGCATTAGCATTTCATGGTCCAGCATTTTCTACATCACACATTTTTTTTTTCTTAGCTGTGAAGTTTCGGCAGATTGTTATGCAAAACAGTTTTGTGTCTCTGTGTGACTGCGAAGACAGCTGTTAGTCCTAATGAGGAGTGCTAGCTTTACAGTATTTCCATTGATTGAGACCCACGGAGGGAGCAGAATGTTCCAGATCAGGCAGTGGTGTGTGGTGAGAAGGTACCATACTGTCAGCTGGAAGTACATGCTCGGCTGCTCTCCACGACAAGATAAATGAGTTTGCTGGAGTTTGGCAGAGTCTGAAGCTTTTCCAGTGAGTGGTTGTAGCTCACTAGCCTCCCTGTGGGACCCACAGTCCAAGGGTGCCTTTAAGACTACTGCGTCTTTGCCATGCTTGTCTCTTGATGTCCTACGATACCCGTCAGCATTGTGATTTATTAGGAACCTCATGTCTTCTAGCATTTCATTAGCATAAGGTCGGATAATCTTTTGTTGAGGCTTTTTTCTCTACATTGCTGGAGGGAGGTAGTAGCTGAAATTTAACTTGGCCAAAACCTCCTAGAGCACACTGCAAACAGAAGTCAGTGCGTGTCTTTACTTTATGCTTTCTCAATCTCTGGCAATAGGAGAAGCTCTTCAAACATTCCTGTAACCTTTGCTACACCCCATTTATAGTCAGGCCATGTGCTGTTATTTATTTAAATAAAGAATACGTGGGGCTAGAGAGATGTCTTAGCTGTTAACAGCTCTGTCTGCCTTTCCAGAGGACCTGGGTTCAACTCCCAGCACCCATATGGCGGCTGACAGCTATCTGTAACTCCAGTTCCCAGAATCCAACTCCCTCACACAGACATACATTCAGGAAAACACTATACAAATGCATATAAAATAAAAATAATTATTAAAAAAGTACAGCTTGGTCAGTCATGATTGTACAGTTTGTCCATATATCTGTTTCTCCCCTGGTCATATATTGCTGTATGCTGTGTCTTTTATGCTGCATCCAGATGTTGTACAGTAGTCTTCTGGAGACGCTGTTGATTGACACGTATAGAGAGGAAGTACCTGCTGGGATCAGATGAGCTGAGACAGGGAGGCTTCAAGTGCCATTTTATCATTTCAGTCCCGTCTCCCAACAAGTAATTGATGACTTTGGTTTGAAAGAAAGGGTTGCATTACAAGTTAACCTAATAGACCATGGTAACTTCTAACTGGGACAATTTTCCCAATGACTAGTGGTGTTGTGTGTGTGTACTTTGAAGCCATATCTCACCATCTAGTGTTTTCCTCACTCATTTTTCCTTCATCTTAATTTTTGAGATCAGTTACCTTTCTGAGCCTGGAGTTCACAAATTTCAGAGGACTGGCTGACTAGCCAGTTCCAGGAATCTTCCAGGCTCTACCCCTTCAGCCCTAGGATTACAGGTGTCTGCTGCCATGCCTGTGGGTTTTTTTTTTTTTTTTAATAGGGGATCTGGGAATTGAGCATTGGACCTAATACTTTATATGGCAAGTACTTTATTGACAGACCTATCTCACAGGTGTAACTTACTTGGAAAAAATGTCAGTTGAACTTCTTTGCCATTGTGAATTGCCCAGTGTTTTTTACTAACTCCAGTGTTTTGATTGAATTGGAAGTTACAGTTGGAATGGCTTTTTTCTTAATTCATCCCACCAGACCTAAATATATAGAAATTTTGGTAGACTGTGTAATCCATATTTTTCTAGTATCTTCTTTGCTGCACTGTCTGAGGATGATAGGACAGAGTAAACATAGACTTCATTTTCCTGCACAGCTGGGAAATAAAGCAAGGGTTCTTCCTTATGTAACTTATGCACAAGGAGAGTTTACGAAACAGGCACAGGTTGCAGAGCAGAAGATGCCGTAAACGTGCATATCTCCCACATCCTTGCCCTCTTTCCCCTCTGAAAGCAAGACGTGTGTATGTGCACTGTGGGGGATGGTTGGTACATCCTGCACTCTAACTGCTGATGTGTCTGACCTTTACCTGTAGTACTGTGACCTCTGCTGTGTTCACTGTGGGAGACAACGTTGTTTCAGGCAGCGATGACCGCACAGTAAAAGTCTGGGATTTAAAAAATATGAGATCTCCAATTGCGACAATTCGTACAGACTCTGCCATTAATAGGTAAGGAGTAATTGTAATTTATTACCTTGTTCAATGATACAGCCTTTGGGAAGGGAGTTCAGCCTACCGGGAAGATGTATTTTATTGATCCTCTTATGTGAATTCAGTGTCTGTAAGTACTTAACCTTACATAACACAATAAATATCACATTGATGGAGTAAGACTTTAGGAGTCAGAATGAACCTTTGGTAGCCAGATGGCGTTGAGCTTTCTTTACTCCTGAGAGGCTCTGTCTGCTGTTAGTCTGTGTGTGGAGTCCACGTGTGATCTGGCAGTTAGGTGTATCTTAAGTTTCTTGTCCAGTGTTATAGGCAGACTACCCCTGTGATTTGCTAATTTAGTTTGTCTTGAAAGTGAAAAATGTGGCCTTTACTACTGCATGATACTACAATGTCAGTATTTTATATAAACTTGTTTTTATATCTTTTTTGTAGGATCAATGTATGTGTTGGCCAAAAAATCATAGCCCTCCCCCACGACAACCGGCAGGTGCGATTGTTCGATATGTCGGGAGTGCGACTGGCACGGCTCCCCCGGAGCAGCCGGCAGGTATTGGTTCCAGAGGGTTCCTCATGAACAGCAAAGGGGAGTGTGCAGTTCCGTGTCTTACGTCAGTGCTGCCTCAGGGAATACAAGCAGGCCACATTCAGAGATGTTCACATGTAGAAGAGAGAAAAATTAGCTTTAGCATGTATTTTATGAGATGATGAGCTAGTTATAGGTCGGTAGGAACTCCTGGAGATGGCACCTTCCTCCACCTCCAGCCAGAAAAATATCTTTCTGTGGTTAGGTGTCACTGGAAAATGAAGTTCTTCTTTTTTAATAAATTACAGATTTGCTCCTTGCTACCATCAGATGTGATATTTTATTGGGTACTTCTGTATGCTTTATTCAGATCACCCCAGAATGCCTGCATTTATGGCTTCAGCTCAGCTGAGCAGAATCAGAATGTGTTCAGGGAACAACTAGCACCATGTCCTTAAGCAAGTCCTTAGATGATTTTGATGCTCTGTGAAGTGGGGGCTGGGGTCTCAGCATGTATTGTTTAGGTTGAGAAGTGGAGGCAGAGGTCATGAGGAACATTCCTTTTTAGGTTGTCTGTTTAACTGAGATTCCAAAGCATAGCGTCTTAGGGTTACTATTGCTGTGATGAAACACCGTGGCCAAAGCAACTTGGGGAGGAAAGGGTTTCTTTAGCTTATGCCTCCACATCATCATTCATCATTGCAGGAGGTCAGGACAGGGACCTGGAGGCAGGAGCTGATACAGAGGCCACGGAGGGTGCTGCTTACTAACTTGTTCCTCATGACTTGTTCAGCCTGCTTTCTTACAGAGCCTAGGACCTCCTGCCCAGGGATGATACCACCCACAATGGGCTGAGTATCCCACTGTCACTAATTAAGAAAATGCCCTACCGCTGGATCTTATGGAGACATTTTTCTCAACTGAAATCTCCTTTCAGATACTTTAGCTTGTGTCAAGTTGACATAAAACTAATTCTGTTTTTCCCCCCTTTGGACGATCCCTGAATGTCACTAATGTCTGACGAGTCAGCTAAGACAGTCTGTTAATGCACCCATTCCCTGGTCCTTCCAGGTCACTTGCCTGACCTTTAAGCATTGCTTGGGCCTTTTAAAAAATTCTCCTGTTGCTGTCTTCTGTCTGCTTTTCTTTTGATTGCTTCCTGTTGCTGGGGTTTTCACTTCATCATGAAATGCTTCAGAGTACAGTTTCCAAGCCACAAGCCAGCTTTGTATCAGTTGTGTACTGCAGACACTGAAGACTAAGGATGAGTTTGGAGAAGTTGGAGTTAGCTATCAGTGTGGCACCCTTTCTCTTTAAGTGGTGCACTGTTTCTCAAGCATGGTAGTCCTTCCGGCAGTAGTGTTTCAGCCGGTTTTTGTTGCCACCCACAAAAATGTGCTGCCCAGAATAATTACTATCTTTTTCTTTGAGTGTACATTGTAGGCAAAAATCCCATAAAATCATTTTACAACCCTGCATTCCATGAGTTATCTGCCTTAACAGAGTTTTAGTCATGTCTTCAACAGGGTAGACTGTTTATGTGTGTCCTATAATTGCTGTTAACATATAAAGAAAGCATTTGTGAAGAGACTGATGACTGTGCTGCTTTATTATTCTGATGCTTTCTTTTCCCCCAAGAAAGTAAGGAGTTCTAAGTAGAACTTTGTGATTGGAATTCCATGTGGAATTATTTGTAAAATATTCAACTTTGCTGGAATTGTAGAAATTTTGTGCCTGGGTTGATTTTTCATATAGCAATATGTTAAATAGGTTTATTTTAAGGTTAATGAATAACATCTAACTTCGTTTTAGACCTGTAATTCTTCTTCAAATAAATAAAGTATAGTTTTAGTATTATATCATTACAGCTAGCCGTCACTCACTCACTGTTGTAGGTGCTTTCAGCTGACTAGTTTTAAAAACAGAAAACCAAAACAGAGCATGCGTGGCTGGTTCTCAGTCTTCCTAATGCTGTGACCCTTTAATACAGTTCCTCATTGACCCCCAACCATAAAATTATTTTTGTTGCTACTTTATACCTGTAATTTTGCTATTGTTATTTGGAGGCCAGTTTGGTCTATAAAGAGAGTTCCAGGACAGCCAGGGCTATACAGAGAAACCCTGTCTCAAAAAACCAGAGGGGAAAAAATTAATCATAATATTAATATCCGTGTTTTCCAATGGTCTTTGGGGGTTGTGACCCAGAGCTTGAGAACTGCTAATGTATGGGAAGCTTGTTTTCTTCACTAAAGGGTTTTGAACCCAGAGCACCACTCCTGTCAGTAAGCATTCTATGACTGAGCTACACCCCCACTACTTTAAATTTTACTTTTAGAGAGTGTCTTACTAAGTTGCCCAGACTGGCCTCAACTTGGATCCTCCTGCCTGAGCCCCATGAAGTAGCTAGTCTACTGGTGCATGTGCCACCATGCTCAGTGAAAAGAGCAAGCGATTTTAGATGATTTTACTTTGGAGATAGTGCAAGTAGCTGCCCCAGGTGTTTCAGGGAAGCATGTTATGGGGACTGTTAGGAAGAGCTGCAGAGTCAAATGGCACTGAGGTCCAGTGACTTCTTATGTGTTGGTTTGTAGGTAAATAAGTGGGATTCCATATGGCCAGAGTCCTAGAGCTTTTAATAAAAGAATGTCTGTTGTGACTATCCACAGTAGTGTGGAGTAGCCTTCTTTATGTATGTTGGTGGTTGAGCCCCTTTTCTAGGCTTGATCATGATGTGAACACATAATGTGTGCACTTTTCCCTTCCATCTCCAGTGACATTCACTTTTCAGACAGATGTGGCTTTCAGTGTTTTCCCTGGGTAGCTCTTGGCCTAGATGGCCATTTTCTCTCACTGATTTGTCCAGTACGGGATTGCAATATTTTTCAAGAATACCCTGCAGTTATCTTTTAAGTAGTTCCTGTCTAAAGGCATGGCCAACTGCCAACTAATAGATGTAGATGTGTTTTCCTTAAAAACAAAAAAGAAAAACAAAACTCTTTTAACAAAGAATCAATGAAAGATTTGTTTTAATAGTTGAGACACCTTCATAACTTGTCATACAGGTTTTTCTTTTATAGGTAGTTTTGCAACCTGGTTGAATCACCCATATGTATAAGCAGTATTTATATTGAAATTTTTACAGAAGAACATCTTGTCCGACTCTTGCTGAGTATTTCTTTTACCTGATAAATACCTGTCAGTTTACTCAATCCTTGTGCTTTATTGTATAACAATGACAGCAACGTATTAGAGCTGTAACACTAATTTATTGGTAATTCCTGCTGTGTAGCGTGCAGACATTCTAAATGTTGGGGTTTATCTTCTGTGCTCAGATATCTGTACATACACAGCATATAACATTATAAGTTTTGTAAACTATTTTGTAGTAATTTCCTCCAACATTTTGATACTTAATTTGAATTCCTGAGGATTCTAGAATCAGCTGAAGAGGCTATTCCATATTTATGTTTCATGTATATGTTTTATTATTTGAACTATTTATTTACTAAATAATATTTGAGGTCTTTGAATTTGGTTTAATGTGTCTGAAAATACATCTTCTAGCTTTATTTGTTCATTTAAAAATATCAAAGTGAGCATTTATTTTTAATGTGTTACTATAATCTTATCATTTTCTTGAAGAAAAGACTAATCGTGACTTTTGGTATGAGCCCCTCATTCTCTGAGTGGCACACATTTCGCCTTTGCTCTACCAGCTTGCTACTGACATGTTCCCAATACATAGTAGATTTTGGCTCACTTGAGCTATTCCTATGTTGAGTTTTCACTCTTACTTTATTCATCTGAATACTGTAATTAGCATGGTGAAAGTGTTATGTTTTGTTTCAGGAATAATGCATTAATCCTGTTTCATGTGTTTATTCCTAGGGTCACAGACGAATGGTGTGCTGCTCAGCGTGGAGTGAAGACCACCCCATGTGCAATCTGTTCACGTGTGGCTTCGATAGGCAAGCTATTGGTTGGAACATCAATATTCCTGCATTGTTACAAGAAAAATAAGTCACTGGTGTTCCTTAGTTTGAAGTTTGCCATGGACCTTTGATTCATGCAGGCTCTTCTGCATATTGATCAGCCATTATAGTGAGAATTTGGCCCTGGGAAGGGTGCCTTGTATATGTTCTTTTTACATTGTGCCCAGCTTGCATGAAACGTACAGAGAGATGTGTGATTCTGTTTTTTGTTTTTGTCCTGTGTATATTGGCATCCTCTGGTCAGTAGAAGTGAAGCTCACCTCCCATGTAGCATACAAAATGCTCTGAGTTGTTGACATTGACAAATGAGCAGTAGGGCATTACATTACATTATATGAATTAAATGTGAACTGTGTACCTGTCGTGAGGCATAAACAGTCTGTTCCATTGTCTGGAGTAACTATCCATACCTACCGTGTCCTGGGAAGACTGCAGAGTTTATTTGCGTTGGCTATCGAGAGGCAGACTGACTGATAAAGATTTCACGTTTGGTTTGTGTGAAGTTATAGCATGTGCTCTTGTGTAATTCATTTCAACTCTTAACTTCTGCTCCAGTTCTGTAAATGTAACCTGGATTTACAACATTTGTGCAGAGTTTCTTTTGAGAAAAAAACATTTCTCTTCTTTTATTATACAAAATGATTTCAGTCTCCCAAGGTCTCATACAAGCAAAATTTAAAATATGATTCTCATCACTGATTTTAGACATTAAAAAAAATTCAAAGCACTTTAATTTATAGCTGTGGTTCTAAACAGGTTTCAGAAGTTTCAAATGACTTATCCATTGAATGTGACTTGACCTTTATACAAAGGCCTGCTACCTGAAGACAGAATCTTATTTATTTTCTACACCTTGAATTTGCATATTTCTAAATGAGTTCACTTCTTTGGTGGTATTTGAGAGCCAAGGATGCAAATAAATGAGCACTACCTCAAAATAAATATTGGGAAAACTTTGGAGTCTCACTGTTGTCTAGATAAGCGCTTGGATTTAAAGCTGGAATACTGGATTCAAGGTAGAAGGCAAGAAAGACAATCATACCAAACATGTCCTGAAGGTGAAAGGCTCTCTAGACAGGCTGGAGAAGTGATGGCCATGGTGGGTAGTTCATAGGCAACAAGAAGCATTTGTCTAGAACAGCTTGGATACCTCTCAGTGCCAGTCCTACTACTGCACAAGTGAGCCTTTTGTTCTTGCCTTCTAGAAACCACTGTTCATCTGATATTTGAAAGTTTGTGTTTCTTACAGAGTTACAGTTTTGATAAAGAGACATCTCAGTTACTGCCCCTCGCATTTTAATCCTTTTCATACAGCCCTTTGGAGACTGACCTCTTGGGGAGAAGAGGAAACGTAGTATGCTGTTACAGTTACCCTCCCTCTCCTACCTCCTTCAGGGCCCTGTTTTTTCTTTGGGTGGCACAGGAGGGCACCTGAACTAGTAAGTGGTAGGAAGTTTGGTGTAAGATGTATGTGTTGTGCATAGAGCATTTGGGTGTCCTGTGGTGGTACTTTCTAGGAGTGAGAACTTGGTTATTGGCACCTTTGACTTGGGCACCAAAGGAGCTGATATTAGGAACTTCACATCTGACTCATTTAGAATGATTCTTTGAGGAATTTTGTTTTTTCAACTAAAAAAAATTGTATTTTTAGTCTGACCCTTCTAATCACAAGTCTCACCATGGTGTATTTGTGAACCGAGTCAGACTGGTCACTGTAATTGATTATTGTACTTTTTAAGGACCTAGCTCTGACTGTTTTGAATGTATTTTGCTTGATGGTGGAGGATGCTGATCCCAGTGGTCTGCTTTACTTACAGCCACCAGAATTTCTCTCTCCTCCATCCCAGTATACTTACATACTCACAGAGTTGCTCATGATGATGACAAACTGTGTTCTTATGTTCCTTGTATCTTAATCTGAAAGTAAACATAAGAACCAGATCTCTACCAGACACAGTTTTGGAACTTAAAAAAAAATTATATTCGTGACCATTTAGTTCTATGCAGACTATGACCTTCACTGCCAATAGCTGCTTATTTTCTTTGGCTAACTGGAGGGACCAGCCTCTGACACAGAAGTGAGGCTCTTCACTCATTTCCAGAAGACCCTAATGGTGCTCAACCAGAGTGCTCAGGAGCAGGATGTGACTTACTGTTAACCGCTGTGTCATCTGTTCCCATCCCTTCGCTGCTGTGGTCAGTGTTATTTTCAAGGTTTTATGACTGTCACAGGCTTGTGCTCATGAGTGTGTGCAGGCTGTGTGCATGTGGCTAAGGGTAGGTCATGCTGTCAGCCACATGTGATCTCAATAGAAATAGTGTTTGGAGATAGGAACACTATCGTGTGCTCGAGTGTCCAGAATTTCATTTAATAACGGAGGGGAAATGCGTGGTTATTAAATGTGCATTGATACAAAATTTCCCAAGAGATTTCTTGTTGGACAGAATTAACACTCTTGTTCCCCCCTTATTGCTGCGTACCAGTTTCTGTAGAGTCAGAAAAGCTCTGTACATATTTGGGAACCTGAAGACTATGTAAATCATTTGTTACTTAAATCTGTGAAAAAAAGTTTTGCTTTTTTTTTTTTGAGGGAAAAGTGCATTTATAAATGTTCTGTGGAATCAGTTATCTTTCCTGTATTGATGTAATTGTTTTTAAATGTTCAGTGTCTTCATTGAAATATGAAGTTCATTAAAATATTTGTGTTCTGTAATTACTATTATAAAGGTTTATGTTATTGGGAGTCTTATGTTTTTACTCCTCTGTGTTACTTTGTAAAGCATTATTGATAGTTACAGAAATATCAGTTGTCCAGAAATCGAGTGAACTGCTTATAATGCCTGTTTGAATTTTTTTATCTTAGACTTAAAACCCAGCTATATTCTTTATCCATTTCTTTTGCAAGTAAAGACTAGCATTGGTAAGATTTCACCAAGTTCTGCCAAAACATTCTTTTCACATTATCCATAAGTCTTGTTTTCCTGTAATAACTTAAGATTTTAAAAAACTTATTTCAAAACTGTGAACATTTCAATTATGCACAAAGAACATGGGCTTCATTATAGAAAGAAGCTAAAAATGAAGTTATGGAAGATTCAGGATTTAAATTCAGCTTCATTAAAATAGCTTTTGTTAGGGATCTTTGGCATGCTGAGCATTCTGTGTGAAAGAAACGATAACAGTATTTGAAGAATGAGTGTGAAATAAGGGGTGAAATGCTTTAATATGAGCAAAGGGCACCAGCAGATGTTTATGTACAATTAGTGTTACTGTAAATTTCTGTAATGGGGACACTGAGTTCGTGATAGTATATTTTTAAGTTTTCAAATGTAAACTTTCAAGTAGAATCACTTCAAAAACAAAAACACATTGTGCTCTCCAGTGTGGTTTAGCATTTGGGACTCATGACTTGTGGGCTTAGATAGAGAGGTGTTTGCTAGCTCATGTCAGTCAGGTCATTTAGCCAAGAGCCTTTGCTAAGGTGACATTTAACCAAAGCATAAAGGTTATCAGTAGAAGGAAGTTGCAGAGCCTTTCTTGTTGGTGCATGCACAGGTGTTGCGAGAGAGCTTGGCATGGTGTGGGTACTGATCACAGTGTGGCAGCACACAGTGTGGAAGTGGGTGGCCTGGGATGAGACCGGGGTGAAACAGATACCATCTCATTTAGAGGCCTTGATAAGAAGTGTGGCTTTCGTTCCTCACTTGTTGATGGAGATGCAGTAAGATTAGACAGGCTGTGGAAGTCCAGGTGACAGTAGCTGTTGCCACACCTTGTTGGCAGCAGGATTCAGGATGGCAATAGGATAGATTTGAGGTCTATTTTGGGTCTAGCACAGTTAGTGATTTATGCCACAGTCCAAAAGTATCTTTGAAGAGCCGTCTATTCCAGTTATGCGTGTGTGTTTGTCAGGATCTCCAAGATGTTTAAGGGACTGTTGGTAAGGATTTTCCCTTAAAAGACAATACATTGGGCTGGAGAGATGGCTCAGAGGTTAAGAGAACTGACTGCTGTTCCGGAGGTCCTGAGTTCAATTCCCAGCAACCACATGATGGCTCACACCCATCTATAATGAGATCTGGTGCCCAGAACCCTATATACATAATAAATAATTAAAAAAAAAGACAATACATTAGGGAGTTTCAATTATGGGAGACTTTAACTTAGCATTGCTAATTTATTGGTCCCCTATACTTTGTCATCAACACTTAGCACTGTCACTCACAGTGTTGGCACTGTGTCCATCCCTCAGCCACAGGGGCCCAGTAGGAACGGTCCCTTCTCGTCTATGGCTAATCAGGATCCTGTCTTGAAATTTTGGGCTGAGAATGGAATTATTAGTGACCCTGCTTTTAATCTGAGTGAAAAATAGGAGGGAGTGTTTCAAAGTGCTAAGAGAAAAATTATTAGTAATGCATCCCCAGCAAAAAACCAAGTTTGAAGAATGAGTGTGAAATAAGGGGTGAAATGCTTTAATATGAGCAAAGGGCACCAGCAGGTGTTTATGTACAATTAGTGTTACTGATTTAGTAAACTTCTGTAATAGGGACACTGAGTTCATGATAGTATATTTTTAAGTTTTCAAATGTAAATTTTCAAGTAGAATCACTTCGAAAACAAAAACACACTGTGCTCTCCGGTGTGGTTTAGCATTTAGGAGTGCTTGCTGTTCTTTCAGAAGACTGGAGTTTGGTCCCCAGCACCCACCACAGGCAGCTCGCAGTCACTTATAACTCCAGCCCAAGAGATCCAGTGCCCTCTTTTGGCCTTGGGTACCCCCCCCCCCATACACAAATAACACATTAGAATAATAAAAAGTGGTTACTGGTGGCGTTGGGGGAAATAAGAATAAAGATACAAGTGAACTATCATACCGGAGAAAACATCAAAGATTTTTGTTTTCCATTTTGACAAGTAGATTCCTGGAATCATCAGGTATTTTTATGTTGGGATGTGTGTATGTGCTCGTGTGTGTGTGTGTGTGTGTGTGTGTGTGTGAGTACATGCACGTGGATAGCTGAAGTTGCCCTCCAGTGTTCTTTGGGAGCTGTCTACCTTGTGTTTTGAGAGCAGGTCTCTTCACTAAAGCTTTGCCTGTGTTTGGCTCCCCAGCACGAGGATTGCAAGTATGTGCCATTATCCCTGGCTTTTTCTGTGGGCTCTAGAGCTTGGACTGAGGTCCTTACCTTGCAAGGCAAGCACTTTACTGACAGAGCTGTCTCCTTGGACCAGTTTTTATACATCTCTGTATACCCAGTGGGTCTTCTGTCCCTGGAGAGTCCTGACATAGTGACCTATTTAACGAATGATTGTGGTACTGCCAATTATTCACATGGATTAAGATGATGAATATGACTCCTTCACACCTAACAAAGTGAATTCCATCAGTAACTACTGAAGGAAGTGTTAAAGGAAAGACATACTCGTGTGTGTGTGTGTGTGTGTGTTTATACTACTGGACTTATAATAGCATAACAAAAATGCATTAGACATGTTAGAAAGGATTAACACATTCACATTAAATTTTTTTTTTTTTTTTTGGTTTTTCGAGACAGGGTTTCTCTGTGGTTTTGGAGCCTGTCCTGGCACTAGCTCTTGTAGTCCAGGCTGGTCTCGAACTCACAGAGATCCACCTGCCTCTGCCTCCCGAGTGCTGGGATTAAAGGAGTGCGCCACCACCGCCCAGCTTTTTTGCTTATTTTTTAATTAGATATAATAATGAGTTGCCTTTGTTGTAAGATTTTTTAAAACCAAAGCGAGGTGAAAATCATGTAGTCACAGAAGAGTATTTTGCAGGATACTAAACCAAACAAAATGGTTTATGTCGATAGGGAAACTGGAAATTGGGCAGCAGGTAAGAATGGGAGCGTCAGAGAACAAATAAGATTGGAAGATCAGGAAACAGGAGACCAATTGTTAGATTGAAGGACCTGCCAAGGATATAGGCTACTAAAACTTTTACATAATGTTGGCTGGGATATAAAATACTACAGTGACTTTGGAAATACTATCTTACAATGTTTATCTATAACAGCAGTTACAAGGTAAAACTTCAGTGTGGGGCAGGCATATTAGCATTACTATCGTTTAAACCCAGTGACCACAAATGGTTAGATTGCCATTCTTGGTCTTAGGAACCTTATGGTGGGTGAAAGTGTAACCCATTGAATACACAATATGAAACCATTTTTGTAAGGCACAAACCAAGAAAAAAATATAAATCCTGTCTGTCTGCCTACCTACCTACCTGCCTGCCTACCTACCTATCTGTCCTCACATAGGAACAAAAATGCAAAATTTATTCTCATGTTTTCTGTGCAGGTGTGATTGGGGTAGGAAGGCAGAGGACCAAACAGGGAAAACCCAGGCTTGCCAAATTCCATGTTTAATTTGTGTAAAGATAGGTTGTAAAAAGTGCTTGTGCATCCATGCACATGCTATGGTGCAGGTGTGGAGGTCAAATGACAACTTTGTGGAATTGGATCTCCCTTTATGTAACGTATGCAGTTACTTGGGTTTAACTCAGGACACCAGGTTCACTCATAATGAATATAATTTTCCTTTAGTATATCATAATAGTATATAATTAAGAGCAGTAATGTGTAAAAAGTGAATGTTGATACTTTTTGACAGCCTCTTTCAAATTTATCGTCTAACCATATTATATCCATCTCATATATTAGTTTCTTCTTTAGCTTATGAACAGGTAGTTTTATTATTCTAAAACATCTCATTCTCAGTCACTCGGTTTGCACATGTTCCACAGGATGATGTGAAGCCAATTTTGTGTTCTTGAAAAAATGGCCACTAAGGAAATAGTACAAAGGCAGAGTGCTATACTGTGTCAGAACTGGGCTGTTTTCAAATACATTTTACGACTCCTAGTGTCCAAGTAGGAAATGTAATAAAGATTTCATTTACCAGGTGTGAACATAAAATAACAAGAGTAGTTTTCTTATGTCGCTCATGTACTGAGAATGAAGATCATTTCAGATCTGGGAGGCAGTCCAAGACTTGCTTTGAACAGAGGATACATATTCATTCTTTCAGTTTGTGTGTTTAGAAAACAGCATTTTGGGGTAGGTGGGGATGTTCTGCAGTATTTAGCCATTAATGTTTTTTGGCTCCCAGGTTGTTTCTCATAAATAATATTAAAATGTGCTCCCAGCAGGGCTGGGGATATAGCTTAGAGGTATAGTGTTTGGGTTTCATTTCTAGCATTGCAGAACAACAAAATGTATGATTGGTAGTCTTCTCCTGGAACTAATCCTCATTCAGTGGAGCTAAATTCACCGCCCCCTCCCCCGTTTTCCAACAGCTGTGTTGTGTTGTGGTTGAAACACAACACTCAGCATAGTTGAAATGGTGAGCTGATGAGTTTATCATAAATATTTACCCCTCCTCGCTTCCTTCTACATCTCCAACTTCATTTTCTCTTTTTCTTCCTTCTTTCATCTTGCTGTACAGGCCAAGGCTTGATTTGAGCTCATGATCTTGCATACTGGGATTATAGATGGAATCCCAGTTGCATATAAGATTACATGCCTTTGCCATCAAAATTTCATCAGTTAGTTTCTTTAAATATTTTATCTGACCCTGTTCCTTGTTCTCCTTTAGTAGCCCCAGTAAGTAAGTATCCATCCAGTTGTCTGATATTTTCCACAACGGACTGCTCATATTTCCTTTTAGTCCTTTCTCTCTTTATGTTTTATT